ACTCTGATTATCTGTTATCTGTTATTTACAATGTTTCTATTGCAGGGGAATCTGACTTTCATGCTAAATAGACTATTATTAGCATGGAATTCTTTCTGTCAAGCTTAGTCAAGATGTTGTCTCCAAAATATGGAGGTATAACAACAATCAACTGTTCAGATGGGTCCATCTCAGTGAATACAGAAGCTTCTTAAATCTCTCCAACAGTTCTGAACAACCTCCCCATTCACCCACCCAGTCCATTTTTTCCATCTCCCTATTTCTCCCTCTGCCTGGTTTGCTTCTACTACTAATAATAGTACTGGCAGTGATCATAGAAAAACCAATTTCTTAAATCTGTGAGTTTCCACCCCCCAACAAGTCTCAGTTGCCTCCATATTCAGTAATACTGATAGACCATAAAATTTACTGATACATAATGAACTATAGACTGGAAATATACATCCTGCCTTTAACAATCACACTCTCTCATTCTCTGTCACTTCCTCAAACTATAGCTTACCTCTCATCACCACCAAAACACAAGAGGGACTATAAATGGAAGAAAATAAGTTGGTCTTCAAGTTTCTTACTCCATCATGCTATAGAAGCCCTATATTACTGCAAATCAATATCCAGAAGAGAGCATCTGAGTTCTATAATAATATACACAAAAACAGGTTTTGGCCTTGAATAAGTTGAAAATATTTCCAGTATAGAGAGCCAGTTGGTTATTTGTTAAGGCGCCAGACTAGAAAGTGGGAGACTGTGAGTTCTAGCTTTGCCATAGACACAGAGAAAGCTGGGTACATTTGGGTAACTTTGAGCTACTCTCTTCCTCTCAACTCTAGGAAGGAGGTAAACAACTTCCAAAATCTTGTCAAAAAAATTGAAGGGGTTGTCCAGACAGTTGCCAGGAGTCAATACCGACTTGAAGACACAAAATAAATATAAAATATTTCAAATATAGACCCTAAGTTCCCATCTGTTTATGAAATTCAAGTGATGCTGGAAGTGTGTGTGTGTGTGTGTGTGTGTGTGTGTGTGTGTGTGTGTAGAGTAATGTTTTGTTGAAATTCTTGCCATAATGCCTTTCACTGTCTTGTTCCAAGCTGTAGCCTTGTAAGAAGATCTTTTAATAACTAATAACATAGTTCAAAGAACTATGTCTGGAGTTGTTGCTACTACTGTTTGATCAGTAGTACTGCTACTACTGCTGCTAAACTTTAGAGAGGCTTCCTTTTCCACAGATGCTGATTTGGCCTTTGAACTGATATCACATATAATATGTTTGAAAAATCCAGTAACATGGTGATTGGACATGGGAATTTTTATGACATGCTGGAAAAGCAAGATATTGGTTTAATTGGCTTAATAAACTCTTGATGGCTGGTTATTCATTATGATTAAGTGAATTATTTATTTTTATGTGCTTTGGTTTTATTAGCTAGCTCTTTGCAAAAAGGGAAGTTGAAATGATATATGGATTACTGTTTCTTTAAGAACCTGGAACATTGATAGAGGGCAGAATAAATTTAAACATAGTTTATTTACCTCACACATAGAACAACAGTTGTTGGCAGAGAGTAGATCTTAAAAACTGCATTGTTATAAATAGTAACTGTGAATAAAACTGTATTGAATTGAAATTATGCTGTTGATTGTTATGAAGAAATAGTTATTATATAATATTATCAGGTTTTAATTTAAACAATCATAACAGAACAAACAGTAACACTGAGTTATAATATCTCATTCTAGCATAACAGCCATTTCTGAGACTGTATACAAGTGTCTCAAAATTCTAAATATGCCCAATAGCCAAAATGCTTAGGCCCCTGTATTAAAAATAATAAATCATAGAGCCTTATCTCTTGTGTTACTTTGTTTTTGAAAGGAAGCAAATGGACACAATTATGTCACTCCTAGCTAAACCATAATATGACTGTGATATCCCCACAGGCCAATTGCTGGATTAAATGGGACTGACTTTGAAGCACATGTATTGATCAAATGTTTGAAAAATAGTAGGAATATTAGCTTTGTGAGATATATATAAAAAGCAAGTGATAAACATTTGATTCTTTTATAGAAATATGGGAGAATTATTTTCTGGAATCTTTCCCACTTGAAAATGAAATGATGTACAGCTACATCACAAGATGAAAGAAATATCCTTTCAAAAGCCCTTTGTCCTCTTGAGAATTACAGAAGTGATAAATAATCATGTAGAGGTTTAATAATTTTTATGCTGTTGTCAGGCTGTAAGAAATGATTAAATATTAAGAAATGATTAAATATTGTTACACTTAACAATAGTGATATAAAACATGCCAGAAAATGCAACTATCCTTTTTTTTGCCTGCATTCCTATACAGGTTCACTTCATAAATCTGAACATTCTTGAATCCTGGTGCTGCCATAATAAGAATTATTATCTTTGCTTTACAGTCATCCAGACATGGGAGTTTTGCCAAAAATATTGACACTAATGGAGAAAGCACTAACTCCCACAGAACAACAAACTGAAAATTGTAGCTATAAATTCCTAGGAGGCCAGAAAGTTTTTCTTCCAATCAAGATACCTTAGTTTTAAAAATGAAATGGACTTGTCAAAATGGCTGTTTGTTGTGTAGAAGATATGAAAACATTGAGTGAAGCAAAACCATATTCACTTTGAACTGTGGAGAATTGTGGAAAGTTCATCATCAGAGTTCTTCTGAAACATCCTAATAAGTTTTCACTTGGATGGCTTCTATAAATCTATTTCATATTGTTATTTATTGAATGGTATTTCATTTGCCGTGTTAATTTCATGAGACATTTCAAATGCAGCATTTTGTAGAACTATTGGTAAAAATAGGCCTGGTATTTTGTAAGGAGCCATTTTTCTTCTTATTGAGAATATAATTTGACCAAAATGCTGACTTTGTTAGATTTCTATGAAAATCAAAAAGATAATTTAAAGAAAAGTTTCCTTATTTTTCCCTCTTGGTAGTATTAATGTAACTAGCTTATAAATAAGATATAAGCACTGATGCTGCTGATGTCTTTCTCTAAATTACTTACAAATTTTTGATTTCCTAGCTCCTTGTAGAAAATGTATTTCAGATAAAACTTTTAAAATTCTGGTCTGAAATTCTGAAATATATTTATAAAACATACACATTTCTCTCATGCCTCTGACAAAATACTGTAAATACAGTTGAAACATTTATTATACATGGCAATTTGAGATATACTCCAATCTGTAGTTTGAAAATCTTTCTGGGCCTTTAAGTAGATTGCACAGACATTTCATCATAAAACAGCATTTTGCTTGCTTGAGGCTCTAACATTTCACATACTGATTTGGGAGTACATTCCACTGAAATACCTAGGAAGCACTTGCAAGAAAGACAATGTCTGAATCCTAAGCAAGTTTAATAGAAACCAGCTTTCAGTGATCTCAGTGAAACTGATTTCCACATTGACAGATAGACTGCACACTTATGAACACATACTTACAGACCACATGCATGTATATACAGAATATTAATTTATTCCCTCTCCCATATATTTTAGAGGAACTGGTGGTTTGCAGTTTGTATTTTTAGAATACCATAGATTTAGCAGGCTACTGAAATATGCCATTATAATTTTTCCCAGATTTCATCTGGGAATGAATACTAAAATACAAAAAAACTTTTCACATTATAAGAGACTGAATGCATTCAACTCATGATTTGTCAAGTTCAAACCCCTGCTCTTAACCAATCTTGAAAAGTATCACTAAAATACTTTTATAGATAAAATAGTGATAAAACCATAGGCAGCAATTAGAGTCTCGGCAGCTGTCCTGATACTTCTACTTATATTCTTTATCTTTAGACACATTTGCCTGCCAGTAGCCTGTCTCTTGATATATCTGTATCCATAATTTTTCCTAATGATATTTAGAAATGCATCATTAAATTTCTGATGTTTCTGAGCAAGTTATCCCATTTTTTGTGCTTCCTAAATGGAAGTAAGGTGAGAATCTCAATTGAAGGGGATCAAAACAACTGAACGGATCAGGCCTATCCTGATCTGACATATTTTGCTTTCTTTCACATTAGTTTATGAAATTAATTTGCACCCCTTATTCAAGATTCTGCAGTTTCTTGTTTCCTTAATTCAAGAAAAGCATTGGAAAAAAATTGAAGTCCAAGAAATAGCATGCCATCCTACTCAAGGACATTGCTCATTATTGAATATACAGTTTTACAACCTTAAAATATAGTCTGATTACAATCTCAGAAGATAAACCTGATGTGGCTTCTTCACTCTGAAGAAGCAACATTGTGAAGATTTAGAAATGATTGAAGATTCTTCAAGGATTGGAGCCAGTAATAGTCAGAAATTATGTTCCTTATAGCCTCATTTGCCTGACATTTGTTGGTGCAATAAGTCTTCTAGTTAAAAGAGAGTGTCATTGAACAGTGTATTATGCTGTCCAAGGTGCTGACTTTTTTTTTCTTATCTTTTTCAGTACAAGGAATTGCATGTTATTTCAGACTATATACACTGACATCTTTGGGGTTCATAGCTAAGACAGTAAAGTGAAGAATGAAGTCTTACATATAAGATATTTTGAAGTTGTATTGTGACTAGTATTTCTTATCCTTCTAAATTCACTTTTTCACATATGATTTTTTTTAAAAAATGTAACCTACTTGTAACAATGAACAAAAGTCTAAATTATTAAATCATAAAGTGTCTTCATATTTAAAAATACCTGCTTCTTTCCTTTGGTAGTTTTAAAGGATAGCATTTTGGAAACTTTACACTGTATGCAATTGACAATGTTAAAAATATAAGTAGAAATTTGACAACAATTTCTTTAAAGCCTTAAGTTTAAACAATGTCAGTAAAAACTATGAACCATTTTCCAAGAAGTGTCTTTAAAAAGGAGTCCTGCAAATGTAGATGAAGCAATAGCTTTTATCAATATACTGCACACTTTTTCATAAACACTTAAAGTATTCTTTCTCTTTTTAAAGGACGAGCCAACCACTGGTCTGCAATTATTGGTGGATCTCATTCCAAAAACTATGTTCTTTGGGAATATGGAGGATACGCAAGTGAAGGGGTGAAGCAAGTTGCAGAGCTGGGATCCCCAGTTAAAATGGAAGAAGAAATTAGGCAACAGGTAATATATCATATAATCTATTTTTTTAAAAAAGATTGTTACATTAAAGCAACATTAAAGTAATTAAAGGAGAAGAATTGAGATATTTTGTTATGAAGACTGTCAGTATATATTCTAGGAAATTTTAACTAAGTTAATTACAGTTTTCAGAATTAATTACAGGATTTTAATGTGTAAGATGTAATTAAATATTCTCTTTAGGTCACATTACAATTTATTTTGTTCATAATGCAATATTGAACCATAGAATTTATCTGTATGTTTTAAGTTAGGAGTTTCTATATAACATCTTTAGCTTTGCTTTTTTTTCCCTTGAAAAAAAATTATTGTGTGAAAACTTAAACATTTACAAAATATACAGGGAAAAATCATCAGAAGTGAGTTACCATACCATCTCATATTGAGGGGAGTTTCTGTAGGGAAACAAAAATATGTGATGCCAGATGGTGTGCAGAGCATGGGAGAAGTTTGCAGTCAATATTGTAATCTTAAATTCTCTCATATTATTTTCTAGTATGGTATCACATCTGAAGTGAATTAATAGCAACAATTGTTATAGACTGAACTGGTTGAAGCATCAGATTGACAAGATCTTTTCTACATTTTATCTATGATTTCAGTTCCATTTAGCTTCAAAAACATCTCAAACTGCTTTCTGTTGAGCAATTAATTCTGCCTTTAAGATATAAAGCATACTTTTATGAAAAAAGTCTGTCTAGGAAAAGGAATCATACAGTGTTTATTTGCCAAACTTTATTGTCGTTAATAATTTCGATTGAGACTGAAAGAAATGTGGATGCTTCAGTTTTTTGCATGATGAAATTTACGTCAGATTTGACTTTAGTTCATTTTTTCTCAAGTTCCAAATATTAATATTACAGTATTCTTAACACTAACACGGTTGGAAGTGGCATATATACCCTTTGCGTATATTTATTGTGTTTCCTCTTTGAAGGATACAGCAATTAAACATTTATATTTAAGCTGCAGGCCCTATTTGAACTTCATATTTTGAGAATGCATATGCTGGGAAAAATATCCTAGAGCATGCATACATTTTCTCTTCTATCTTTTAGTTATGGATACCACATTTTTGAAATTATTTTCCTAAAAAGCAATGTTGGGAAAAGGGTCACATCAATTGATTTTTATCCAGCAGGCTGAGGAGCCACAAAAGATTAAAGTGTATTAAACACCATAAGTAAAAGAAGATGTACATTTTTAAATATCTGTAAATAAGTTTATAAATAATAATGGGTTCTTTCTGAATGTGATGTTCTGGCAACAGCAAAAAAAGTTATCAAGAAAATAATTTGTAGTAAAAAATAAAGATAAAGGATGGGTGAGCAGAAAATGGCAGAGTAGCAAAATCTGCAAGGCAGTTGAAAGCAACCTTCACCCAAAGGCTAAATTCTAATATTTGAGATGCATTTGTGGCTTTTGTGTTTGTGTGTGTGTGTAAAGAGCTTTGGTCTGTGTTTCAGGAAGCAGAGATTGGAGTATTCCCTCAGGCTATACAAAGGTTTTATTGCTAAATGCATCCTGAACTAAAACTTTCCGGAGTGAATTTAAATAGGCATTCATTTTATATATCAAATGTGAAATGAATGAATAATTGAATTTTCTTGGTCTTGTCCAAGACAGCTCAGCTAAGCAGGAAAAATGTCAGTGCTGGGATGGTACATTTCTATTAAAGTGAGAAACAGTGCTTCTAGTGTGATATTTGTTTTCGTTGTCCTTGGGCACATAACATATATGCTGCATAACCAAAAAATAGAGAGGATGTGTAGCTGTATGTAAAACAACATCTCAGTATCTTCATTCTCTCTCTATCACCTTCTATTTTCCCAGTGTTGAGTACTGTATAGTACTAGACTTGGAGGTCTCCTGTCCTTGCTTCATTCTGCTGGTTATCATTTTGCAAAACAAGAAAGCATGTGGAAGGATCATATTCCATTAATTATTAGGTACTAGATCATTCAAAGACATCTCTGGAGCCATCCCTACTAAACATGGGGGCTGGTTAAAATTCCGGGCTTCAGAATCCTGATTTATGAGTTACTTTTCATGGGTATGTAGTGGTTTACTTGCCTTGGCTTTGGAGTGTCATTTTGAATCTGTAGTACTCAATTTGATGTAACTTCAGAGACCATGGTTTTCATTTGGTTTCTCTGTCCTGCTGAAAGTGCTGCCATTTCCATTAGATGACTCTGTTTCTCATTTTTTTTAAATGATTATCCCCTTGTATCTTTTGTGTCCTGATAGTGGTAATGGTCTTTTAGCTTTGTGATTTTACTTGGCATTTCCTCTGTGGTCTATTCGCTTACTACCTTGGAGGGCATTTCATTTTAATTTAGGAACTGCGAAACTGGTGGTGGGAGGGGTTTGTGGTTGGTCGGTTTGTATATTTGTTAATTCAATTTGTATGGCTGCTCATCTCAAAAAGTGGCTTTGGGCAGACAACAGAATTAAAATAAAATCAAAACAACATCAATAACATAAAAATTATTTTTTGGCATAGCCAAAAATATTTAATATCCCATCATCACTGATACAACTGTGAAACATGTGTCTGCACATGTTTGTGAGCCCAGGTCTTTAAGAGTTTTTGAAAGGCCAGCAAGGTCAAGTCCATTCTGGGAAGTCTTTGAAGGAAGGATTGTCCATAGGATGGACACTACAGCAGAAACTGGCATTCCTTGGCTGATGGGACCTAAAGCATGTCCACCCTGCCTGACCGAATTGGATGAGTAGAAACAAATGGGGAAAGATGGTCCCACAAATTGGTTGCTTACAGCTTAACTATATAGCTACACAGTCTTTCCTGATCAATTCCCATGTGTTTTTGTAATGGAATGTGTGGGATGATCTTGAAGGACAAAGGAAAAAGAGGCTGCAGGAGAACCCTACAGTCACTTAACAGTCAGAAAAAGAAAATTAGGAAGAACTCATCCTAATTGATCAGATGGTTAAAAATGGTTGTGTCTTCAGACTTTCAAGGTTCTGTTAACAATAGAATAGATTCAGCTCATCTAATCGTATTTCCTATCTGGTTTACCCAAGAGAGCAGTTTTTATAGCTAAAATGCATACCCAAAATATATTCTGGTGGGCTGGTGGTCCAGTTTTGAACCATTATTTTATTTATTTCCATGCAATGGAAACAATATACAATGAGATAACAAGATAAAATCAGGTTCATAAGCGGTTGTATAAAATCTATTCCTACTTGTTGGCTCCCCGTCTTGAGCCACATTGCACCACCAACTATGAAGGCAGGAAGCCTTAGTGAAGGAGTAAAAAAAAATATGAGAAACCCACATCTTCCTGAACACAGTGATCTTCCTCATCTATCAATTGGCAGGCTTAAATCCAAGAAGCCCTCTCTGGCACTTGCTCAGCAGCTGTCTAACAACTTTAACATCAACACACAGTGGAGAACCAAATGGGCTGCTGAACACCCAGATACAGGCAGTCACATAGTTGACCCTACACAAAAGGTGCCAGGTTTTGACCTTCATCGCCAGCATTGGTCAACTCTGAACAGGATCTGTACCCAATATGATGTCTGCCAGGACTCATTGTGTAAGTGGGGTCTTGTCTCTACCCCTCAGTGTGACTGTGGTGCTCCTCAACAAAATTTCTATCACATTGTGTCCGAATGTCCATCAAGAGCTTACACCAGCCCAATGTCTGATTTTTTTAAACATAGACCACCCTGTCCTTGAATGGCTGGATGGACTGGACATTAACATTTGAACCATGTCCGTGTATTTGCCATACGGTAAATAAATAAATAAATTTTATTTCCAGAATCAAAATCAATATTTTGATAAGACCCATCTTAAATGGGTCTTATCAAAATATGCAGGTTAGGTTTTCTTTTAGTTTATTTGGTTTAAGATAATTGCAATATTTTTTCAATACTTCTTTTCATTTTTGATTAATTATGTGTATTAAATTAAGTTTTCATCTTTCTTATAAAATGTTTGTAGTTATTTAGGCAGAAAAGTGGAATTTTTCAAATAACTTTCATTTTATCATCTTATTTTTGGGTTTATTAGAGGAAAAAATACACGTTTATTGTATATTTTCATTTTACTTTGTCACAAGCATTGCCACAAGGTATTTGTGTCTGATTGAGTTAGTGACCTGGAACTCAAAGATGCCCTTCATTCAGCTTCTATAGACTGACATTATTTTACATTTTAGAAGAGCAATTGCTGAATATATAATCCCCTTATATAGAGTTTCAGTTTCCTTCCCCTATAATCCCCTTGGAAAGTTGCATTCAATACATGAAACCTTTCTCTCTCTCTCTTTCTCTTTTTGAGTCTCTTTGTCATAGAAGATGAATATCATATTTTTACATTAAGCTTGGTAAAATAGATTAGATTTTAGATTAGGAATGAGTTTAGAGCTTATATTTATAACTGTAGCTCTGTAATCAATAAAGCCAATCTATACTTGTATCACCAGCATAGAAATATATGAATAAATCAATGTTTAGCACATATACATTACATTCCCAACTATCTTCTAAATTGGAGTTTCTGGCCAGGATTGCAGATGATGAGCTGTAAATAGGAAAATATACTTCCTATTAGTTAATTCCTATGGTGGTTGGAGAATAAGTGGAAGAGAAAGCTACAATTCCCTCTTTCTCCTTTGCGTTGAGTATTGTGGAAAAGAGAAAGGTGGACTGGACACATTGTTTGTCTGATAGAGAAGAGAAGTTGTTAGATATAAAAAACTAAAGTTAATCCTTGATTTACAACAGTTCATTTAGTGCCTGTTCAAAGTTACCGCTATTGAAAAAAGCGACATGACCGTTTTTCACACTTATGACCATTGCATCATCCTCGTGGTCACATGATCAAAATTGAGATGCTTGGCAAGTGACTCCTATTTCTGATGGTTGCAGTGTCCCTGTGTCATGTGATCCAGTGGTGGGATTCAAAAAAATTTACTACCAGTTCTGTGGCTTGGTGGGTGTGTCAT